GTAAACTAAGATACTTTTTGTGGGTCCAAAGTGATTTGTAGGATTTAAAAAATTTATAGTTGATTTGAGTAGTTTTTACTTTAATGGTGGTTGTCTATAAGAAACCAAAACTTGACCCCACATTTTATATTTTTTATTCAAGTTACCATTAATTTAATTATTTTAATTAAATACATATAATTTTTTAAATAAAATTTATCTTAAATACTTAAAAATAATATTAAATATATTTTATTATAAAATTAAAAATGATACAAAATTCACAACAATAATACATAAAAAAATTACATTTTCATAGGAATATAATTATAATAAGGATTCGATTGGTTGAGATCCATTTGATAAATAAATAAGATTGGAAATTGAAAGAAAAAAATTTAGAAATAAAACTGTGTGTAAAAAAAATTAAAATTTCTATAGAATTTATATAAGGTAAAAAATGATAATATGACCGTTACTATTTTCAAATATCATATCCTTACTTTAATGTTGTTGGAATATTTGGAATATTTTATTAATATTAAATAATATTATAATAGGTTTCACATAGTTAACGTTAACTATATATATAATGAGAACTAAATTTTAGTTCATTTGGATGCCATGTCCGCTCTCCTATAATGCAAATTTCTTATTACTAACGTAAGCTATAAAGAATTTTGGTTTAACAACCCTGCGTTAAAGTTGCTCTAAGTTAAACAAAGGGGAAAATGTTGCAAGAACATCTTCCGTAACCTTTCTCTCTTACCTCCTTCTTGTGCTGATGAATTTGAAAAATCTTTTAGAAATATAATTGTGATCAAGCAACATGTGTATAACCCCGTTGTTGTCCGTGATTTACACTTCCAGAAATTATTGATCTTATGAAGTTTCAAGAGATCAATAATTGTTTGAAAGTCTCAACTAAATACATTCTCACTATTGTCTGTGACATTTTTAATAACTTTGTCTTGTATGCTATAGAGCGATTCAATGAGATTCGTCACAACATGGCTTCAAACCATGTTGCAACTCAAGTTGGCATTCATCAAATGATTCGTGATCAAAATGACAACAGTGATCGATATCTTCAGTTTTATCGAGAGATGTGTGAGGTGTTGGATGGTAAGCATGATGTTGCTTGGTTTTGTGATAGAGGTAGAGGCCGAGTTCGTGAACGTGGTTGTTATTAAGCATCATTGTAGATTTAGGTTTTATTTATTTATTTCTAATTTCAATTTCTTTAGTATTATGGACCTTGATTTTCTCTATTGTGTTATTTTGTTGCAATCCTTTATGACAATCATGTAATGAATAACATTTCTTTTGTTATATTTGGTTGTTTGATTATGTGTAACCTTCTTTTGCTAGATGTGCATCATCATAATCATATGACATGTAAAATTAGCTTACATAAGCCATCACGTGCTAAAAATATGATTTATCATGAAAAAAAGTTGTGAATGGGTCGATACATCTGACAAATGGGTCGACTCCTTCATAGTTGAAATTGACTACATCTAAAGAGATTTTTCACCTAGTAGTCTATGCCCTCAATGTATCGATACATTGAAGGGATGAGCCGATACATTCATCAAATGAATCGACTCCTTCTAAAACCTTTTTTTAACAAATTGCTCAGTGCCTTTAACGTATTGACTCCTTCATAGCTGATGTATTGATATATATATATATATATATATATATATATATATATATATATATATATATATATATATATATATATATATATATATATATATATATAAAATACAAAAACTTTGAATCCCCTTAATTATGAAATAATGCTCAAGAGCATTTGCATCGACTTCTCTTCCAATAGATTATTTGATAAGAGAGTTTGCAAATAAGTACTAAAGTTACATCTTCATTCATTAATAACATCACTCCATTCAAGAGAACATGTCTTAATGGAGTATATAACAATACACATCATGAAATCAAATTATGATGATTATTGTAGAAATATGAAGGCATTGTTACAATTTAGATGGGGTAGGAAATGCAGTGGTATCAAAGACTTTAAGGAAAAAACGAGTTCTTCGAATAGAGAGTTTTGATTGCAATATGGTACCAATGGTAGCAATGAGTTTCCTCTTCACTTCTTTATCTATGCCACCCATTGATATTATTTCAGCATAAGCAGCTGGTCCTTTGTTACCTTCAAATGATATTGCCACTGATGACTTCAATAGCACCATCACAAACTGCACAATTATCATATTATTATCACAATACAAATTGATTAAAATTTTTAAATACACGTTAATATCGTTTGATCTAACTCTAAAGCACGAATATTTCATTTTAGGTAAAGTATCGGTATCGGATACTTTAATTGTTACATTTTTTTCTTTTTTTATAATTTTGAAGTAAAATTTATTAAGTATCAAGCAAATTCAGTTATCTACTCTTAATCTAGACATATAATGTTTAATTTGATTCTTCTTTATATTCAATAATATTTAATTAATGAATTGCATTCAGTTTTGATTAAAAAAATTGAAGAATTTAATTTGTTCTTTACATTTGTCTTAAACATTATTTATAAACATTTTTTCCAAACATTAATTTATGTCAATTTTTTTGCTAAAGAATGCTCTAATTAAAAACCATTTTGTCAATTTTAAAATAGTTTATCTAATTGATAATTAAAAAAAAAATTAAGAGATATAAATAATGTTAATTAAAGAGTCAATAGGTATTTTTTTCCTCTATCATATTAGTGAGTTTCTTTTTATAAAAAAATTCATGTAAAAAAAGTTTGAATTCACCATCTATCATATGAAGATTCTCTTGTTTTATTCTCTCAAAAAATGTAATCATAAAAAATAATAACATCACAGAGGATTTTTTAAAAGTTGCAAATTTGACAAAGTCAAAATAGATATACATTTTTAAAAATTACATGACATTTAATACGGTATTTATGTGCAAAAATTTCTTGAGGGGACAAACAGAGCCAGGGACGAATTTAAACTTTTTTCTTAGCAATTTTCTTTTCAAAACTCACCTATATAACAAGGGCAAAATACATATTAACTCTTATTTTGATTATACAATTAAAAAATATAATTGATAGTCTACTGAAAATTTAAAAATTTGTCATCTTGTGACAATTTCTTCTAAACAAATCAATTATTTTAGAATGAAAGTATTATTATTTAAAAAAAAAACAATTTTATTTGAAAAAAGAACATAATTAAAAGTGTAATATCCAATGGGTAATAATTTTTAAAATTACAGTAATTTTTTTATTAAATAAAAACTACTCTTTTTAAAATATTGATATTGAGTATCAATGGCTACTATCATGCTACCATTAAGACCAAGCATCATAGCAAGAGCATGTCTATTCTCCAAAAGGCAAATGGTGTTAATGTTACTAATCAACAGGGTATTAAGCATGAAGTTATGGAGTTTTATAAGAATCTCATGGGTAAAGTTGTCAACTCTTTAAAGCATGTTGATATTGAGGCCATGAGGGGAAGGAACCAAGTTACCAGAGATCAAGGAGAGTTCTTAACTGCTAAAGTTACAAATGAAGAGATTTTGAAAGCTTTGAAGGGGATAGGTGACATGAAAGCTCCAGGGATTGATGGATATGGTGCCAAGTTCTTCAAGGCCAGTTGGCATATTACAAAGAAGGATGTTGTGACAGTTATCCAAGATTTCTTTGAGAAAGGGAGTTTGTAAAAAACTTTTAATAGTACTATTGTTACCCTCATCCTTAAGATTGATAATGCTAAGACAGTTAGGAATTATAGCCCTATAGCTGGATGCACTACTTTTTATAAAATTATATCCAAAATCCTGACCAGTAGACTGGGGAATTTTCTGCAGACTGTTATTCATCAAAGCCAAGCAGCTTTTGAGTTGTTGAAGGGATATTCTAGGAAGGGGGACCCCCAGATGTATGATGCAGCTAGACCTCTAGAAAGTTTATGACATGGTGGATTAGAAAGTCGTAGAGTGTATCTTGCAAGAGATAGGTCTGTCTAACAAATTTGTTAGTTGGATTATGACTGGTATCACAACAATTAGCTATAGGTTTAATATTAATGGTGAATATTATGATATTTTGCAGGCTTATAGAGGTATTAGACAAAGGGACCCCATGTCCCCTTTGTTGTTTGTTATTATGATGGAGTATATGAACAAAATTATGGCCAGGATGCAGCAAAACCCAAATTTCAATCATCATAGTAAGTGTGAGAAACTTAGATTAACTCACTTGTCTTTTGCAGATGATGTTCTTCTGTTCAGCAAAGGTGATCCTAAATCTGTTGAAATGATCCTTGGAGCTTTCAAAAGTTTTTCTGAGTCAACTAGTCTGAGCAATAATCCTAGTAAGTCCAAAATATTTTATGGTGGAATGGGTGCTAGTAATATTCAAGCAGTAAAGCTCATGTTTGGGTTTGAGGAGGGCCATCTTCCTTTGAGATATTTAGGGGTGCCCCTTGCTTGTAAAAAGCTTAGTCTGAACCACTATTTTCCATGGTGGAAAGGATAGTTGGCAGAATGAATCATTAGTCCTCAAAGCTTTTGAGTATAGCTGGCAGGTTCCAACTTGTTAAGAGCATCACTTTGGCTATAGCTTGATATTGGATGAGTTTCTTTCCTATTCTAAAAATGGTCATTCACAAAATAGAGGCAATGTGAAGGATGTTCGTTTGGTCTGGCCATACTGATAGGAGCAGAAAAGCCTTGTAGCTTGGACAAAGGTTTGTAGCCCTGTCATCCAAGGGGGTTTGAATATGATAAATATGGAAATTTGGAATAGTGTGATCCTTCTAAAATATTTATGGAACATCTGTATGAAGGTTGATGGCTTATGGGTTAAATGGGTGCATGCCTACTACATGAAAGGGGAAGATGTAATGAATGCCACGATTAGAAATAATAGTTCATGGATCCTGAAGCATATCATGAATAACAGATGTATTGTGAATCAGATCCAACAAAGTTGGGATGACATGATGAAGAATAATAAATTTTCAATGAGGAAAATCTATGTGCAATTGGTGGATGATCAATGCATAACCAACTGGAGCCACTTGATCATACATAATGATGTTAGGCCGCGTGTAGTGTTGTTCTGTTGGCTTGCTTGTCATGGTCATTTGGCAACGAAAGCAAGGTTAATGAAAATGGGGCTGCTGCAGGAGTGTGTGTGTAAGATTTGTGGTATGACTGAAGTGAATCAAGGCCATTTGCTTTTTGAATGTAGAGCCTTAAAGGATATTTGGAAAGAAGTGTTACAGTGGTTGGGCATTGTTCCTCATCTGCATAGTTGGAAGGATGAACTTGGCTGGATCTTGAGTCAAACTAGAGGTAAAGGGAGACATGCTGGTATAATCAAAATGGTTGCTGCTGAGACAATATATGAAGTTTTGCGTTAGCGTAATGCTGTGATTTTTGATGACAATAGAGATAATACAAGAGTGACTAAAGATATATAAGATAGCATAGTGTATATAGGGTGGAGTAAACTTATAGCAAAATTCTTAATGTAAGGTTTGATTTTGGTTTATTTGGTTCTTTGGGGTGTTGGGCTGGACCCGAGCAATCGCCTTGTATATTCTTGGCTTTTTAAAAATATATTCTTTTATTTATAAAAAAACAAATATTGAGTATATCACCAAATTATTTAACAAAAGTAATATTTAAAAAATCCTTTTGTTCTGGCCTGGGCCCCGGCTTCACCGCGCGGCCCAGCCCAATGATACGCGAAGCAATGCCCATTATGGTTTCAGCAAGACAGCCGGACACGTGACCCCTAGACGGGCTGAGCACGCGCCCGCCGAGCAGAACAGCGTGCCTCAAGACGCCCCATGCTCCCTCCCCTTCTCGGGGAGAGCTGCCAATCGTTGTCCCTCGTCGGGCAGAACAGCCCTCTGCGGGCAGAGTCCCCACACAGACGAGCAGGACAACGTGTCTCTCCCACGCCCTCGGGTGCTCCCCTCCGCGGGGAGAACAATACGCCTACGGGGAACCGTGCGAGCTCCCCCCCCTCCCCCCCCCCCCTTCGCGGGGAGAGCAACGTGCCCCCCTCCGCGGGGACACGTCATCAACCAACTGCCCACCTCCGAAAGAGCAGGTCAAACCCACTTTCCGGAGATCAATGGACAGTTGGACTAGGGCGAAGACCACGTCCTGGTCTTCACTACGCCACGTAACCCCTAGCAGTCACTTGGGTTGGGCCTGGCAACCCAGCCCAACGCAAGTGACCGTTGGCCCAGCGCTGGGGTCTCTCTATAAATACCCTTTTCACAAGAGGGTCAGGTAATTCACTTCTTACCCCTTTTTCTGTACTTGTGATCACTCTGCCCATATACTTACTTTGGCATCGGAGTGCCTTGTAGGTACACCCCCTCCTTCTCCTCATCACTGGTGAACAGACAACAGTCCAACAGAGCATGGCCAGCCAGTGATCCCCTTCTGATCAGGTCAGATCACCTTTAATTTTTATTTATAAGAACAAAAATGATATACAAAATTGTACAAATGATAGAAAATTAAACTAATGAATATATCTTATAAAGTTATGGAAAAGAGTGGTCGTAATAAGATTAAGAAGATATGTTTAATTTATTAATAATCAATTTGATTTTATGTTTGATATCCATAGAAACAATCTAGTTATTACAATGTGTAATAGATTTAGATCAAGATGACATCTATTTAATTTTTATTGATTTGAAGAAGACGTGTGATAGAGTGTCTAGAGAGATTTTGTAGAAAATATTAGAAAGTTTCAAGTAGTGTGAAGACGCGGGGTGATGACTCGAACAATTTTCTTATTACAATAAGATTTCATCAAGATTCACCTTTATATCCTTATCTTTTTCAATTTAATTTTGGATGCACTTACAAAAAGCATTGAAGAATTAACACCAAAATATATGTTTTTTTTAAGGTGATATATTCATACTTGGAGAGTCAAAAGAAGAATTAAATAGGAGGTTGATGACAAGCCTTAGAAGCATGTGATTTTTGTTGTGCACAAATATGAGTTGAAAGTCTTACATTGCTTGGAAAAGTAGAGGTTGAACACTTTTTAAGTGGGAGGATCAATATATCCAATGTCTTAAGGCTTTGGAAGAATATTTGGTGTTCTCTCACTTGTTTGGGCGAGTCTTTGACTCAATGTGTATTCTTCCCCTTATGATGACTCATTAGTGGTATTAGAGCTGATGGTTCGAGTAAGGGACCAACTCCTTGTATCAAAAGTCTTCCTGGCATGATGGTGGTCAGACAACATATCCTGTTGAAGTACCCATGTTGTGGTAAGGGTGTCAACGATAACACGGGTGTTATGGATGAAAGAGCTTCCATTTGAGTGGAAGCTCAATGCATGAACTTACATTTGAAGGGGAAATTGTTAAAAGTCACATATTGGTTGGAAAATTGGAGGTTAAGCACTTTATAAGTAAGATGACTCATATACCCAATATCTTAGGCTTTGTTTGTGTGTTTGGAGGGGAGGGAAAAAAAGGTTTTGATTATTTTTTTAAAATATAGAGAAATCTTGAACATTTTTTGAAATTTTTTGTTTAAAATGATAAAATAGTGTTATCATTTACATATTTTTAATTTTTTGAATATTATAATAATATACATTATACTTGAGCAATTTGTATAAGTCCTCCAAAAACCTCAAAATTCCTCCTCCAATATAATTTTTTAGTTTCCCAAGTTAGGAGAATTTTGATTTTTGAATAAAAATAAATTAAATCCTCCTAAACACTTTCCACCTAAATCTTTCTATTCTTTTCACTCATTTTTTTCTTCAAAACCCTCACTCCCTTTCCCTCCAAACTCTCAAACAAAGCCTTAAAATTTTAAGTGAATATGCGGTCTCTCTCTCTCTCTCTCTCTCTCTCTCTCTCTCTCTCTCTCTCTCTCTCTCTCTCTCTCTCTCTCTCTCTCTCTCTCTCTCTCTCTCTCTCTCTCTCTCTCTCTCTCTCTCTCTCTCTCTCTCTCTCTCTCTCTCTCTCGCGTTTGGGTGAGTATTTGACATAATGTGGATGCTTGTTCTCATGATAACCCATCAATTTTTACCTGGATATAAGCAACGTCGTCTTTCAAGGTGTGTAAAGTAGACTACCACACATGACCTAAAATTTATCACGAATAACCATAGATAAATAAGACCTCCAAAAATAGGGCCTCTAATTGTTTTTTCATGGTTGAATTTTGATTAATTACATATGACCTCCAAAAACTTAAGACAACTCTAGATAGAAGTAAGACATAATATATAAAATTTATTTATTTATTTACCAAAAAGCGATGTGTGTTTCTATTTTAGAGGTGATAGTTAGAGATCATATCATTCACATATTACATAATTTAATTATCTTAGATTCATAGTATAAAAGAATAGAGAAAAAGAAGATATAAATCATCAAATTCAAAATAAGTGGTTGAAATGAAGGAGAGTCACATGTGTTTTATTTTTATTTTATATGATACGAAAATACCGTTCAAACTAAAATAAAAATCTTATCAAACAATTATAACACTATCAATGTTGTATGAAATAAAATATTGAACAGTAAAGAATTAAGATAAAAGTAACCTAATTGTGTCAGAGTTGAAAATATCCTAAATTAAAATATCTTTTTAAAACAATATTTCTCATTTTATTCTATTGAATAGGACAATCTAACTAGAAATAGCCAAACAATATTGACCAAAACCAAATGACTTGAATCAAAACTTACAAGAATCTATACAACAACATGAATCATTCTATTAAAAGCTTTGCATGAAAAAGACAGGAATTGGTACCTTTTCGGGTCTTCCGATGATTGTTGAAATAGCAGTGGTGACTTCAGAAAAGATGGAATCAATGTTAACTCCATCTAAATTAAGATTGGTGGTGATGTAAAGACAAGGCATCTTGTTCTTGTTTTCAAATATGTTGTGGATGGATCTATGGAAGATTTGGAATCCAAGTTGACTTGGTAGAACTTGTTTTGCATCTTCTTCCTCTAGGATGTGGGTGTATATATATACTACTATTATCTTCAATTTGTACTTTTATTATATAAAACTTTCAACAAAAGTTGAGATATTTTAAAAAATAGTTGTATTAATAATGTGGTCAAATCAACAACGTTATAAAAATATATAATATTTTTACATGTTTAACTTTGTAATTATTGATGTCTTAAAGACTTAAGATTTATGTTAGGAAATTGCTCAAATTTTTCTCGTCACATTTGCGGAAGAGCAATATAATGTGAAAATATACTAAAATTAATATAAAGTGAAATATACAATTTGTTAATAACAATTATTGTTGGATGAAACTTGTTAGTTGTAACTTTTCACCTGTTAATACAAATGAAACGAGTACTATTTTTATAATTAATAAAAAAAAACTTATAATGTACATAGAATTCTTCTCTTTCTCTCTCTACGTGTTCAATCTTTGAATTTCTCTCTACCTTCCTTATTTCTATTTTCTTATATTTCTTTTCTTTTAGTTTCTTTTTTTCTCTCTCCTTTGACCAACAATCTCTCACTAAGATTGGTTTTAATTAACTTTCACACCTTGATCAAACATCAACTTTTATCAATTTGTTATTCTTGCATGCCAACTAAAATTGAGCACACTTCAATTTGTCAATTATCATCGTCTTTGTTAACAAGTCGGTTGAGTTTTCACTTCCTTGAATTTTGCTCAATGTTTGCACATAATCCTTAATTAAAGATCTGATGAAATGATAATGAAGACCAATGTGTTTTGTTCTTGAGTGAAATGTTGAATTTTTTGTCAGATGTATCACACTTTGAATATTACTATACAAAATATTATTTCCTATGTAAAGTCCAACTATGCTAACAATCCTTGAAGTCATATCAAGTTTTTGTTGGTTTACTACTACATATTCAGCCTATGTAGTAAATAAAGTAAGAATATTTTGTGTTCATGATATCCAATTATATGTTTAAGTAACTACAATAAATATGTAGCCGATTGTACTTCATTAGTAGTCAACATCACCATCAAAGTCTGCATCAACATAGTTTTGTACTTTTATTACTCCTAGATCAAAGTACACACATTTCTTAGTAGTGCCTTACCTCAAAAATCCACCTAAACATTTCCCAATGTCTTTTTTTACCTGGTTTCATCATAAACCTTCTAACAACTCTCACTAGATGGACAATGTTTGGCCTTGCACAGACCATTACATACATCAAATTTCCAATGGCGGAAACATATGGAATATTAGACAGGTAATCTTTTTCTTCCTTCGTTTGAGATGACTAATCCTTGGATATGTGAAAATGAGTTGCTAAAGGTGTGTTAATCGGTTTGACATTGTCCATCTTAAATCTTTACAAATCACACTTAATGTATTATGCTTGAGATAACTGCAAAACT